TTGTTGGGCACCTCCTTCACCCCTTCATCAGCTGATTCTCCCATTCTCCCCACTCCTCCCAGGAAAGTGAGCTCTCAACCAGCCCTCACAAAGGGTTAGTTACACTTTCTCCCAAAAGGTGAGTCATAGTCCCAGTCAGTAAACTTTTCCTAAAATTTCTGCCATTGTTCTGCTGCAGACTTCCTTCCTCATTTTTGTAGAGAATACTGCTTGGGTGCTCTGTTTCTGTTGCAAGATCACGAGAATCACAATCTCTGCTTCTTTCAGTTTATGGTATACATGATCTCATGAGGCAGACCAAAAATCAGAAAGAAGAGCAGGCGAGTGAGTGAAAATGGATAAGAATAAGTGATTGTCAAAACACTGACAATAAAAAAGAAATATAGTAACTATGTTCTATCAATGGATATCAATTTTCAAGATTTTCGTGCAGAGAAAAAAAAAATCCCCATAATAATGGTCTGTATTGTAGAAACCAAAACCATTTGGTATTTTATCACATTTCAGGTGGAGCTCATTTCTTTTCCAAAGTCCACCTTGCCCTTACATTATCATTGTCCTCCCATTTCCGAAAAGATGCAGTATTATTACCCTTGTAAGAACAATGATGACTCTGGAGGATTTATTGATGACAGTCTTTCACACGAGTAGCTAAAAAAGAAAAAGACTTTGACTTTAGACTGATTGATTTTTCTGCCCTAATGTAATGGGTAGAAGATTGGCTTTCCTCCAAGAAGTTTCAGAGAAAAAATTGATTTGGTTTCCTTTCAGACTGTTAAGGAAACAGTGATTCATGTTTACCTTGCTGTTACGATGTTTATGATGAATAGGTGAATTACACCAACACTCCAAGTGGATGCACAGAGCAACACCAAGGCTATTTTTATTTATATGTGATTCCCAAACATTAACCCAGACTAAAAGAAATGTGTGTGGTATGCACCAATAGCTAAAGTTGTTTCTACGTGTGCTATGCACAGCTTCAGGGGAGGAGGAAATAAATCCAAATATGAACTAGCCCAGAGCCCTTCTCATGGATAGACCACTGCTTATATGAAGTGATTTCAAAGTCACTAGCAAGTACCCCTCCACTGGGAACTGGATCTCTAATGGTGTTTAGAAATGTTGACATCACTCACTTTTTAAAGCTGAGCCCTTATTAAAATGCAAATGTCAACCAAGGAAAATAAGACATTTAGCCATGATAAGTATTAACACTGTGTTAGTCAGGGTGCTCCAGAGAAACAGAACCAGTAGGAGGTATATATATGTAGGAAGATTTATTTTATAAAATTGGCTTATGTGATTGTGGGGACTGGCAAGACAGAAATTCACAGGGCACACAGGCAGGCTGGGAATTCCAGCAGGAGTTGATGGTATAGTCTTGAGTCCAAAGACAATCTGGAGGCAGAATTTCCTTCCTTCTTCCTCCATTTCTGTGAAAGAACCTCAGTCTTTTCTCTCAAGGTCTTCAACTGATTGAATGAGGCCCACCCACATTGCGGAGGGTAATCTGCTTTACTTAAAGAATATTGATTTAAATGTTAATCCCATCTAAAAACTACTTTCATAACACCATCTAAACTGGTGTTTGACCAAACAACTGGAAACCGTAACCTAGCCAAGTCGACACACAAGATGAACAATCACCAACACCTTGACTTGAATTAATTTATCATGTTTATTTTTCAGTTTCCTGAGAGGTCAGTACTTGGGAAAGGCTAATTCTCACATATAAAAGAAGGGAAGGGTAAAAAGAACAAAGGACAGGAATCCCTGTCATCAGAAAGCATAAGTCAAACAATGAATGGTTAGACTTGGAGACCAAGACCAGGAAGGCGGCAGGGAGGGTACGAGGTGCAAAGAATTTGGCTGTGGGAAAGGGGAGGCCAGGGATTATAAAGGAAGTTTCCCCAAAAGTTGGAGGACGAGGAGGAATGTGAAGCATAATTCGCCTAGAGCCGCTAAACTCATCTGTAGAGGCCCTTGGCCAATTCTCGAACTAGTGTTTTATTTTACCTTCATGTCTATTGAGGATTCACACAAAAAAACAGCAAGAACAGTAGCATTTCTTGATTGGCAAACACCACGTGTCACAAACTAATTTCTTTATATATTTAATCTTCCTCCAATGAAATGAAAGTGGTTCTACTATTGTCTCCATTTTACAAATTAAAGAACTGACACCTAGGGAAATTCAGCAACTTCTCTAGATACACCACTGGAAACTGGCATAGCTGGGATTTGAACCTATAAAACGTGCCATCAAAGCTTGTAATCACGAACACTATTCCATCATCTCTGAAACTGCTATTGAAGATATTATCTAGGCTGTTCTGTGTTCTTTGTATAAGGACATACACACACAATATGTTCCTTTTAGTACCAGGAAAAAGATTGTATCTCCCAAGGACCTGGTTTATTTAGAAATATCAGATAATATAACCTGTTTGTTTTTCTTCTTCTGCATAGTTTGTAATTTTCTTTTTCAATTTCAATAGTCTCAGTTTATGAACATTTATTTTTCAGGTTACCTCAAACTCTATTGTAAGTAGGAAGGATACAAATTCTAAAATATGTGTAGTATTATATACATCATATTACTGCTTAAGAAACTCAAATAGCAATAGCGAGTGAGAAGTTTCACGTTCTTAAAAAAAAGCCCTGTTATCAGAGAAAACAAAGTAATAAAAGTGATTTCTCTGACAGCAACATTTCAGGCTTAAAAAAAAAAACCACCAAATTTTCAAGAACTCACATTCCAAGATTAAGTGGATGTAGATAGGAAGAATCCACTGGGAATTCCAGGCTTTGGAAAAAACTGCTCCCTCTCTAGTACCTAGAGGAGCCAAACTTCCCATATTAGCTCTGTAGGGTCCTAATTAGGGAATAATAAGCAGCACCCACAGTTTTTTGGGGAAAAGAGATACAGAAAGATGCAGAGCTTACCTCTCTAAAGCTAGAACAATGCCTGAAGTAGGTGAAGGGAAAATACATATCTGCAGTTTTCTTCAGCATCCTGGCAAAGTAATAAGTCCACTTATGGGTGCTGATCCCAGTTCTGCTTCTGATCTTGCTCCTGTTTCTGCTGCTTTTCCAACCCTCATTTCCCTTGCTATTCAAGCCTGATCTGTGCTATCAACTCCCTGGACTCAATTTTTGTCTAATGAGACTCCATGTCCTGTCAGGGCCTCCATCTGACAGCAAGCCCATGGCCTCACTTCTGCCAATAAATCTGTCCACCCTCACTCTTACTTCTCTGACATTTTTGGCCAGCATCCTACTTCATCTCAGCTCCAGCTCACTATGACTTGACCCGCTGATACCACAGCAAAAATACTGCCCTTCTCCCAGCCCTTCATAGTGGAGTGGCAGTTCCCACACTGTCCATGGGCATTCATTATATTACTGCTTAAGACATTCAATAGCAATCAACAGCAAAGAAGATCATAGATACAAATCTGATCTACCACCTAATAAACCTAGTTTATGATGTTTATTATTATTTATTATTAAGTAAATCCGGTGGAGTATTTACCACCTAATACTCCATGATCAGGGCTTTCAGAACCATGTCACTGAGGCTGTAGGTTCCAGCCATGGTTTCTTTCTACAAGTACCTGAGTCAAGTGTGATGGGACTCAGCAGCGCTCAGCTATTTCCTAACCTGGGCTGAAGTGTACGTGGACCTGCAGAGAAGTTATCTATTTCCTTAATACGGGGTAAGCTTTTATATGAAACCACTGCCAAAGGGGCACATCCCCACGTACTCTGAACCTGTGTGCAGTAACAGTAGGAAACAGCAGGAAACACCAGGTCAGAAAACACTAAGACAAAGGTTATGGGACAATCTGGAAAATCTAGAGAAATTCGCTAGGTTATACTTCACAAACTACACACAGTCTAGACAATACAAATCCAGCCATCTGGTGGTACTTGCAGTGGACTACAGAATACTTGAGATACAGAAGTCTCAGAGGCTTTCAGTGACCACTGGAAACCAATGTTCTCAATGATTGGTTGACTACTCCTTCAATCCATTTATTCTTCATAGTCCTTGTGATCCTGTGTTCAGGAACCACTCACTGCTTGGATAGCTCATGGTCCTATCTCTGAGTTTGAGTGCTTGGCCATCCTGCAGCACTGCTGGGCCCACCCATACCAGAACTGTCCATGTGAAAGCATCACTTGGACCATCTTTACCCAAGAAGTGGTTAGGAGAGGGTGAAGGCTTCCTGAATCATCCTTATGATCATACCATCAACCTAGTCATAGGTTTACCAACACCTTCTCCCTGTTCTCTCTCTCTCTCTTTTTTTTTTTTTGACACTTAAGTATTAACATTTTATTTCAAACACTTATGCTCATCCTTGAGTTTAAAAAGTCTAAGAAAATCCAAGGGGTTCCTTTAAAACACTTACCTACTTGTGATGGAGACACCAACAGGAACCAGCAAACCAGTTTATTTACTCCCATGGATACCTATTCGCTTACCACTCTTCATAGCCCCAGTACACTCTCATAGAGCACCCTAGGGTTTCACTGATCATTACCTAACAGCACCTAAAAGCACCTATGCTTTTCTTGTCCCATGAATCAGTGAAAGTCTGCAGATCTTTCCAGCTCTAGAAGCAGTAATGTTTTCACCAAAATCAGCATTTTGCTTTATGGAAACACAGGCAACATCTGGTAGTGAAGAGGGCAGTAAGGTTTGACTTAACCAAAATTGGCTGACAACTCAAAAAAGTGATTTCATCATTCTGCTTTGCAATGTAGTCTTCAGAAGTCAACTATGATAAAAAAAAGTAGGAAATAATCGTTAAAATTTTAGCAACTCCTAAAGGGCTGGGAGGTGGGTTTAGCAGTTTATTAGGATTTATAAGTCATTTTAAAAAGTCAATTTAAACCAAGTAGAAATAAGTATGCAAAAAGTCTGCAAAACAAAACATACTTTAAACATGTTTAAGTAGACAGGTTATCTGAAATTCTTGATTTTTCAGTCACTTCACTGTTATGCTATGGCAGCCAAGTAATCCTTAACTTCAGTTGGAGTAAGCCTCCTAAATCCAGCTTCATTGCAGATTCCAACTTCTATGTTATCCTCTGTCATTTGCCCTTCAAAGCTTTCCTTTAGGTTTAAGATGGCTGTATGAATGGTATCCTCAAGTTCCAGATCTGCATTATATCTTTTCTCAAGGTAAGTTTTCCCATTTACATAGTTCTTTCCATTGCTGTAGCTTTCCAGGCAAAGTATGCTCCAGATGGATCTGACTGAAATAAATATGGTCGCCCCTCATTCCAATCACAAATAAGTAAAGAAACTCCAAATGGATGAACACCACCTGACTGAGTATATTCTTGCATCACAGAAGCTACTCTCTGTAACAGCTGAGCTGTGGGAATGGGTTCTTGGTACACAAGATAGTACTGTTGAGCTAGTTTTTGAGCTCTGTGCACAAGCACTCTGTAATCTGGGCCCATGCCACTGTACACCAAACCTACATGCTTGGTAATTGGTTCTACTTTGTGTACACTTCGCTCATCATACAGAATGGATTTCTGTTTTTTCTCAGTTGCTAATACCACACCATTTGCAGCTTTAATTCCCACTGACGGGGCTCCTCCAGCTACAGCAGCCAAAGCATATTCAATCTGGACAAGTCTACCAGATGGGCTGAATGTAGTCAGCGAAAAGCTGTACCCACGCTCCGCCATCTTTACCCAAAGAGCCCTCTCCCTGTTCTCCTATCCAGAGAGCACAACTTTTGGGCACATGAGAAAAAAAAATGTACAGCTATGGCATTTTTACGGAACCTAAGCCACCTGGCTCAAAATGGATTTTAAAAATTGGTAATGAGAGAGATTCTATGTAATCCTGTATGAGAAAATGACCCATCTCATTGCAGATGACAAGAGACCCAACCCCAAAAAGCTGACATGGTTTTTGTCTGTGACCCCACCACAATCACCTCAAATTGTAATAATCCCCATGTGTCAAGATCAGGGCCAGTTGAAGAAAACTGAATCATGGGGTGGTTTCCTCCATACTTTTCTCATGGTAGTGAATAAATCTCACAAGATCTGATGGTTTTATAAATGGGAATTCCCCTGCACAAGCTCTCTTGCCTGTTGCCATGCAAGACATGACTTTGCTCCTCATTCAGCTTCCATCATGATTGTGAGGCCTTCCCAGCCATGTGGAACTGTGAGTCAGTTAAACCTCGTTCCTTTATAAATTGCCCAGCCTCACGTATGTCTTTATTAGCATCATGAGAACAGACTAATACAGGTACTTAAATAAAAATGGAATTTACTGAACCACATAATGGTAAAGACTAAGGATAGTACTTGATGACTCCAGGTTCAGCTCAAGTCAGGGGTCAAACAATGCCATTAAGGTTTAGTTTTCCTCTCTCCCTCCATTTCACAAGGCTATCTTCCTCCATGTTGACTTTAGACAGAGTACACGTGGTAATAAGATAGTGGCAGCAGATTAAGCCCTTACACCTTTTTTGAGTTTTAGGTCCATCCAAAGATATTGAGTCCACTTTCCCATCTACTCAGTCATTCTGGAATTCAGTGTCATTGGCCCGTGGTTGGCCTTCTTTGGGTCCTGTGCCCATCGCTGAACCAATCCCAGGGATGGGGAATGGAATGCAATGAATGGCTTAGCCTAGCTTTACCCTGGACCCTAAGGAAAAGTTGGCTTCTCCAGAACCACATATAGAATAGTGAGGGAGGAGTGGGTCCCATAGAATCAGAGTGCTGTAATCACAAGAAGAGAGTGGATGCTGGGTGGGAAAAACAGCAAAAGTCAACCCAAGATTTGCAAGGCCGCCTTAGAACCAGGCCTTGGTTTCTGCCACAGTTGCTTCTGTGTTCCCATTGTAGGCTCAGCTCCAATGTGCCTCAATCTCTTATCAGGTCCTAACTCTTGTTTCTGAGCAACCCACAATCCATCTGATGCTGCTGGCCCTGCCAGTGGGTCTGCCTTGGTCAGCCTTTGCCCATTGAACCCCAGTTCCACTAAAGCCTTACTGAGCCCAATTGCCAAGTCCAGCTGAAGCCTGCTGTATGGTAATTCCAATCTGATCTTCCCGACTCCACCTGCTACTGGTCATATGAAAAGTAGGCCATACCTGATATTTCCATGATTCAGTCCAAGAGAGACAGATCTGCAAACATGCTAATCAAACAGATATCTGGCTTTCGATAATGGAAGAGATTTCTTTAGGGCTGTATCCCAGGGGAAGAAGGAAGATAATCAGGTGACAGCTACAAGAAAACAGCATTCCATTTAAAGCTCTTTCCAGTAACAGGTGATCACAAGCCTGTTTGTAGTATGTAAACACCTGACATTTACATGCGTGTGTGCACGTCTACACATGCATGTGATGTATATGGGAGTATGGAAGAAGAGTTGGGGAAAGAGCGATTCCTGCAATTCTTTTTTCCAGTCTCATATTAATAATTAAGCCCTCCAGTGAAATCTCCTGCCACCTCTAATGAGAAAGTGGAGAGGGGTTCTGAGTATGTGGTGCTGGGATCTGACTTAGCTCTAGTGTGTCCATCACAGTCCCTGAGTGGCTACTGTAGTGTACTGCTGTGGTGTTTAAGCAATATACCATGATATACTGGTGACTTGAATAGAGCTAATGCCTATCAATGGAGGCCTGGCTTACGCCAGTGGAAAATCTGAGTGATGGTGGAGCAATTTTCATCTGATGCAAAAAGGAGGCTTTTATTACACTTCCCTATATGGAGCCCCAGAACTCATGAATTTACACCAAAAAGTGTACTGAGAACATATGGCATACCCAGCATCCACTTAGAGCCTGGAGCTGAAGTCCAGAAGGAGAAAAAAGAATTAGAAATGAAAATAGTGAAGTCTAGGGCCAGGGCATGGTAAGAGAAGGGGAGAGCTGGAAACTTGTTTGTTTTAAACAGAGGTGTTATCCTTTTGAAATTATTTCCTATATTTATCCTCTAAGAGCAGAGTCCACACTAAATAACCATAAATCCAACTGAGTTCTGAGAAATAATACATTCTTAGACTTGTCTGAGGTAGGGTTTGCATGATTGTATGTTTTTCTTGGTTTTATTTGCATGAGAAAAAAAAAAAAAGAATAGGAAAAAAGGCTTACCAAGCATAGCTGTAAGACTTTAGTTTCAACGATCTATTAAAATTACTTCTCAGTTCAAAGGGTGGATTTTCATTGATGTGCATATCATAATTTTCTTTTAGGTTTAAATTATTTCGTAAATTTTCATTGTCTCATTTAGTCAGTCATCCAACAAGCTTTTATATAAGCACGAGTAAAGGGGAAAGAAATCCAAGGGTTATTTTTTTCATTTCTTAATGAAAAACTGTTTTAAGAAATGAAAAAAATTTTTTCTTTAAGAAATGAAAAAAATTTATCACTTTAGACATAATTCCTTAGGTAGGCTGGCTGCAGTAAAGATGGCTTTCGAATAACAGCTAATTATTTTTCTGTCTAATTTCATTATTTGTTTACATTCCTCATTCAATAAGTGATTTAAATCATTTTCCACTTCCTCATTTACTATCAATTATTGTTTGCTCTGAGTCAAAAAGTTGTTTGTCACAGGATGTAATACTATTTTAATCAGCTTTATTTATTAAAGTAGAATTATACATTGTTGAATGGAATGCTATACTTGGAAAGTAGTGACTTGACCCCTCACATGTCTAACTTTGGGGCAATGAGTGTCCTCTGAAGTGGAAGAGTGATCTTCCATGGGGAAGTGAAAGTTCATGTTTCATTGAAGATGTGCTTGCTGATAACTTGCTTCCCAAGTGCATAAAATTGGCTAGAAAGCAAAACTAGTTGCAACACAATATTTGGAGAAAATTTTGAACTGTAACAAATTTCCCCACTCTAATTGTAATAATTTGTAGAACAAAAACTAGTCTATGAAGAGTCTATTTGAAAAAATTGGGGCATTTTAAAAAAAAAGCTCCTCTTGATTAATGGATACAAATATAGAGGTAGACAGAAGAAATAAAACCTAGTATTTGAATAAATCCATAGAGTGACTATAGTTAACATTAAACCATCTTACATTTCAAAATAGCTAGAAGAGTAAAATTAAAATGCTCCTAACATAAAGAAAAGATAAATATTTAAGTTGATGGATATCCCAATTACTCTGATTTGATTATATGAATGTGTCAAGTTATCACATGTATCCTGAAAGTATGTACACCTACTACATATCAATAAAAATATAGATAAATAAGTAAATTTTAAAAACTCCTCATCACTCCCTGCTATGTCTCATGGAGCTAAGTTTAGACCCATAAACATTGCACGACATTTTAATGAGTTGATATCCAGCTTTCCAATCCAGTGAGTGAGACCACTGAAATAAAAAGAAAGCCTTTGCTCAGTTGAATCCTTGTACGGAAATCAAGAATCCCACGTTGTCTTGGCTGTTTGAACTTTCAGGAAAAAAGAGTGACAGAATATTTATTCAAAACAAAAAAATTCTGGTGATTATACAGGATGTCTAAGTGCCTGCCAGTTTGAGTTTTCCAAGTTTTATCATGGAAGCTTTGTTCAAAGATTTCAATCATCATTTAGCAGACATGTCAAGGGTGGTATTGACAAGAATAAATTTTGCCTCTGAATACTTTGTTAATGAAAAATACCTTGACCTCAATGTAAGAATATGTGTTTATTTTCAATAATCATTATTATATTTTATAAAATAAAGCTATTTGATTTTCACTTCTAGTATTTTAACAGATTAATTCAATGCATTTGTCTCCCTCTAAATAACATGCTATAGTAGGAAGCATACTGACTTTAGAAGAAGTGGGAGATGAGCTGAAATGTGGTGTCATCATGTAAGAGCTGGGAAAAAGAGTAGACACCTTATTAACCACCTATTCCCCAACACTAGATGTTTCTCTTCCACATGATGACAGAAAGTCACTTGACTTAGATCGTTGAAGACTAAAATTAGGTGATACATGAAAAGTATCTATTAATTTTTGGCACATAACAGGTACTTGATAAATATTATTTCCTTTCTCAATTATTTTTTGGCTCCAATGAATCTTATGCCTGTAAGTTAGACAGCTGTGTACTTAGGTTTTGTCTGCAAGTGCCCACTAGTCTTTGAGAGTCCTCCAAAGATCAGATGACCACACGTGTTAGTGCATCTGCAAAGGGACTCCCCTTACCACTCATGTTTACTCACTTGTTCAGGGGCACCTGCTGAGCATCCACTTGTTACAGCCATGTGCCTGAGGATACTAAGGTGAAGAACACCCAGGGCAAGCACTCAAAGAACCAGTTACCTCCTTAGGGAGATAGGCCAGAAAACCAACAATTACCCCACAGGGTCATATGTTCTCTCTGGGTTTATCCAGATTTTTTCCAAATCTGCACACATTTGAAAGAAGAGTGTAACAAGAGCTCCTAATGACAGTGGAGGGGAGAGGGAAGTCCAAGAATACTTCAGCTCAATCTAGACCTACCAGAAATGTTAGCTAGACAAGAGGGGAACAGGAAGAGACACAGGAAAGAGTGTTCCAGGTAGAAGAGATTGTCTCTTTTTTTGGTAACAGAAAATTCATTACACACAGTCTCTATAGTCTTCTACTTAGATTGGCCATAGATAAAGATGAAGAAGCTATTGGAGCATCTGTTGTGGCCAAGGTAGTCTGCTAAAAGGATGGAAAGACTGAATTAGTTCT